GAAATCTTTAAGTGATTGCCTCATTGATTTTCCATCATTGGAAACACATACACAAATAAACACACAAAAAATGAGATAAGAATTAGTGATAAGAAAAGTCTGGAACATATTATCCGGCAGGAAAAAATATATGTATGTTGCAAGCAGAAATATTTCTAGAATAACTTTTACTATTTTAAAATAAACATCCTGATATGTGTCCCAGTTCAAAAGTTGATCATTGGTGACTAATTTATGAGTGTTTCCTTCCGATTGACATATATTTATAATACATAGCACCAGTTGGAAATTTAGTTTATTTACTGTGTGAATTTCAAATTAATAAAACTTCCATGTTTTTGTAGGGCTAATCCTGTATTTAATTTCGACTGTTCATTGGGAACTCACTTCCTATGTGTGGGAGGAGGGAACATGTATATGAACATGTTATATTGTAACATAACATACATATCATATAGAAGGGACTTGAAATATATCATTTCCTGAGAAATATTTTTTAATAGCAAGATTTAATAATTTTAATAAAAATGAGAAAAAATTAACATTTAATTTAATATACTGTTTATTTATGGATATAGTTTACACTTTTTCTTAGCTGTTGTATAGGAGAGATTTAGTTCTCAAAAATATTTTTAATTATAAACCATTTCTCCTGAAACTTAAAAATTATAGTTAATTTACATTACTTTATTAAAATTCATATTTATCAGAAAGGGGAAAGATATGTTTTAGTGATTGTCCTGTTAGTAGTGTGAATTTGTCATTTGTTAAAAGGGGAATCTTTGATTAAAAGACAGCAGTTGGCTAATAGCTGTGTGTTAAAAGTGAGACTCAAATATCTCTGAAAGACAATGGAGACTAGAACTAGCTGTGAATTAAACACTATCCTTCACCTGTGGATTTAAATATGATATGGCAATCTTTGATACTTATTACATCTAAAACGTTTAGCTGTTAAAGTTATTTTTGAAAATTCTCTGTTAAATAAAAATATATGAAATCAAATATTGAAATAATGGTAAAAATGATGGAAAAGGAAATAGTGGAGAGAGAATTTTTCAGTCATATAAACAGTGGCTGTGTTGAAACTATCAGCAACAGAAATTTCTCTTAGGAACTGTATCTTATTGAATTCAACAATACAACAAACAGGACAAATTTTGGAAGAATAACTGCTACCATTTTGGCTACATACATAAACTCTCGGGGCTACATGATGAACTCTTGGAACTACAACTACAGCTAGTCAATCTGAATTTTAAAGAGTCTCTCAGAGACAAAATTAAATACCTTATATAACAAAAAAGTCATAAAATAGCATTTTAAGATTATTAATGATATTCAATTATTGATTTAATGTAATAGCATTAATCAGCCTTTATCAGTCTATAAAAATAGACCTTAATACTTCTCTGTTTGAAGCTGTTCCAACATAATCAGTTTATTTTAAAACTCACCTAGAATAGCATAATATCTTATTAATGAAATAATGTTATGTTTATATGAGTATTTCTCAGTACTTTTTCTCAATGAGTGTGCATATATTTATATTTTGATGGAATCACACAAGATTTTTGGATGTTCAATATATGTATAATAATAAAGGAATAATAATTTTGGTTTAAGGTTGAGACTATCATTTGCAATTACAACTCATGATTATCAACCAGTCTTTTCTTAGAAATATGAGATTCTAGGTATCGTGAGCTACACTCAACTCTGTGGTCCTCTGGATTCCTCAGCTAGAACGCTTATGTCCATAGCCTTCTATGGTATAAAAAACAATAGGATCTTTGAACTGTTTAACAATATTTATATCATCTCCTTTTTAAAAAATTGAGCTCAATATTTTAAGAATAGTTTAAAAAATACTCAAAATGGTATCTTAAAAAGAAAAATTGTTTGGGGAAAAATAGAATATAAGAAAGGGTTACAAATTAGGAGTGACTACAGTTTTAAAAGTTGTATCTGGCTAAAGGGAAGTCAAACAATTGGAAGCTGATTTCATTTCTTTTAAAAATGAAACAGGGATGAGACATAAAGATTAAAATTAATTATTGTGGGTACATGTCAATCTTTAACAACAGAACTCAATACTTCAAATTAATATATGAGTAAGGTATCTAATATGTAGTAGTAGTTCTGTTTTGCTCCCCTTGGCTGAAACTCTGGGGTATTCACCATAATCATGGTAGTTCTCTCTATATACACTAGGGGGAGGTGTTACAATTACTCTGGAGGGGTGGTGGGCAAATTGGTGTCTATGAGTATGTGTTTCATATCTCTCACTGGTCTCTTCTTAGACACTGTGGTTTTCCCCTCGGTTGCATAACAACACTTCTAATTAAGAATAATCAATAAGCCATATTAACCTTTCCTTGGAAGTTTTTCATCCTTTTGTTTTTGCTTTATTGTAAACCTCAAGTAAGGATGTTTTATGACTTTCCTTGAATTAGTATGTATTGCAAAAATAAAAATCATAGATTTTTCATATTTAAAAAACAATGAGGGGCTTCCCTGGTGGCGCAGTGGTTAAGAATCTGCCTGCCAATGCAGGGGACACGGGTTCCAGCCCTCGTCCAGGAAGATCCCACATGCCGCGGAGCAACTAAGTCTGTACGCCACAACTACTGAGCCCGTGTGCCACAGCTACTGAAGCCCGAGGGCCTAGAGCCCGTGCTCTGCAGGAGAAGCTACCGCAATGAGAAGCCCCTGCTCCCGCAAGTAGAGAAAGCCCACGCGCAGCAACGAAGACGCAACACAGTCAAAAATAAATTTAAAAAATTTAAAAGTAATGATTAAAAATGAGTGTGCATTCTCTATTCTTGATTTAAGTTAACGGCTGCTCTTAAAGCCTCTACACTTCAGATTTCAAGGTACATGCATTAGAACAGAGATACTAACCCCTTCCTGAGAAATGTAACGGTGAGGTTTCATGCGACGGTGCGGTTAGGCACCCACTCAGCAAAATAATCCAGATGTCAACAAAGCTGTAGCTCCCCTGTTTAGCAAAAGTATGTGCATGACAAACTATTTAAAAAATATAAAGACAGTTTAGGATTTGAAGGTCTGGCTGTAAAGAACACTTCTTTGAATTTTTAAACTGTTAAAGACAGTCTCTTAAGGGAGTGGTGAATTTTGGATCCAGATCACACTGCAAATTCAGACTGTAGGTTATCTCACTGAATCCTCTGGGAAATAAATAGCTCCTTTACCTGAATCTTTAAGCAATTATCCCAATAACAATCATCAGAACTTTCTTGTAATTGGTCTGGATTTGATTTTCTTTGAATTTTGAATGATTTATGTTACAGACTTATACGTTAGTCATTCACAAGTTATAAATGGCAACTTTACTTCAGTATTTATGAATTGCGATCAATACTCTAGCAATCAAAACACTCACCTTTTCTATTTCAATACTTCAATTTTCTTTGGCGTTCTTTCCCAGAACGGCTGGATCACGAACAAAGCAGTCATCGCTTGTGGATGTTTGTGATAATAGTTTGGGGAGAAAGAATCTCTGAGATTAAGAACTGCAGAAGAAGTAGATGAATCAGGAGTCTCCCTCTCTCTCTCTCTCTCTCTCTCTCTCTCTCTCTCTCTCTCTCTCTC